GTGTTGGTACAGTTAAGAATGGAGGATTGAGTTTGTATGTTTACATCAACAGGGACTGAAGAACATGTGGATGCATAAAATGGACTGACATTACTAACGTTCAGAACTGTAAACGGCCAGAGTCCACGTTTCATTTAATTTCAGCCATGAGAACAAGTTGACAAAGTGTCATGCTGACCTGGAATTGCACATATTTAACTTTTCTTTGTTTCTGTTGTGATGCAGGCCAATGTGGCCAGTTGAATGTTGTGTTGTTTTGAGACACCTGGGTTCACAAAGAGAAATGTATGCATAACGAATGTAGTCAAAGTACAGTTAAAACACAAAAACGTGTATAATACAATCTTGTTGAAGCGAAGAAAGGAAGCTCTCTACCTGTTTCCTGTCTCATTATTTCTCTGTTCTTTACAGAACAAAGTGTTAATATGTCTGGGGCCTGTTACATTAAAGAGGTCCTGCACACTACAACATGTTTTTTAGCTGTTAACTAAATTATATAACTGTTCTTTGAAGAAATAAAAAACACGTAAATCCTGGTGTTAATATTTACATTTCACATAGAATTTTTCAAAACCCGACCTAAAGGTTAATGATATGAGTACATGAAGTTACATGCGATACACGCATACATTTTCCTTCCACATTTCCCCCTTGAGTGACGGATGTCACTCGCACTGGGAAATGCTAAAACCTCCCACTGGTCTTCTGGTCCATGTGCTTTGTGTACAGTAGGGAACCACTTAGTAGCACCTTGTGACTGGATGCATGAGTTTGTTGTTGTCTTTCCTAGCTATACTCTAGTAACCAAATACTATACGTTAAGTTAACAGACAACCAAACTACTACGGTTACAAACACATTTTAATATTATATATTATCCCTACTTATGTCTTAAGGTGGCTTACAGTTTACGGACACCACTTGATGTGGTCCTGTCCGTCTCGGCTTGCCCCACTTGTCCCACGTGTGGATTTTAATGTATACCCACTAACCAGGTCGGACCGCACCCCTGTTTACCCACAATTGCTGCTCTTCTGGAGAGGCAGTCGCCTGCACCTCCACAAGAGCTCGCACGGAGGTGGTAGGATCTTCGTCTTTGGTTTCTTCATCAGGGGTGGTTTCATGAACATGCCCAGTTTAGCTCAACATGAGTGGACTGTGAGGCAAAGAAGATGATGCAGCTGCTGTTTTTTGCAGCGCAATCGGCTGCATTGTTTCCTCTCGTGACAAAGTCTGTAGAAGTGCCATGTGCTGCACATCTAACAATGGCCAGAGAGGCAGGTAATGTCATAGCGTGCAGTAACTCAGCATTGAGTGGACTATGAGTGACTGGTTTACCATCTGCACGTAAAAACCCCCTCTTGCGCCAAATTGAGTGTCATTGTAGATGTTGGATGCGTGCTGCGTTCACAGTCGGCCTGCATTTTAGCAGCAGTCTCCATTTACACCGTCTGCCACACAACCGTCCACGGCTGAAGCATATATGGATTTTTTGGCTATAATAAAAGGTACAGCTGAGGGCGGCCTGCTACAACATTTATGTAATGTCTTAGACTTAACGCTCAGCTGGAATAACACATAGAAGGGAAGCTTCAATGTGCAACCCAAACACAGAGACGGGTACACTCGGTGATCAATCGTGTCTCACAGGGCTGAGTAGGACATCGACTGGTCGGTCTATGTGTGTTTGCAGAGCATGTTTAGTAAACGAATGAGCTATATCTAGTTTATATTTTACTATACGATACTAGGCTCTGTCTTTTAAAAGCAATCCAACTCCGAAACAATAAGAACAGTTGAAGTGCATATTGATCGCACTAAGAGGGAGTTTTGGAAAGCTTGAGTACATTGAACCCCTGGTGTCTCAAAAGTAATTTATTGTAATTAAGTGGTCTCTCTAATTGATTTGGACGACTGATTGTACTTTTTAATGCTAGAAAATAAAAGGAACCAACTTCTCCATGTTAACAACCATCCTTCTGTTCTAAGTCTCTTTATCCAATAATGACAGCAGCAAAGGAAATACAAAGTGTGACTAGTAGGAGACAAATTGTGTTAGCTCTGTGAGACTGTAAGTAGATTATCCCACCCTGTATCTGACAGATATTGCACCTTCTCTTAATGATAGTAAAATTGCATTATAGTTGAATTTAGTACATTTTACCAAAAATGAAGTACTGTAGTCAACACCCACATCATCCAATGTGGTCATAGTGTGTATACAACATTTAATTAAATATTATAAATATAAATCAAAACCACAACAGACCACCATAAACAATTTACCAATCACATACTGTTAGTTTTAATCAAAATATGTACAAAATATCAACATTCCTACAAGGGCTAATCTACCATATCATATTGAAATGCTGCCAATCAATATGTAAAAGATGTTATTAGTGCAGGTTTGTGAATATAGTAAAAGTTATTTCTTGATTCATCTTCACAGGAATTAGACTGTTAGACTAATTAGACTGGCCAGCTCAATACATTTTGTCTTCAGATAGCACTTTTCCACCATTATTTTCTGGCGTTTGGTTGTCAGAAAGCTCAAGCGGGGTTTGATAGAACTGCTGAATAAAAACTGGGTCAACAGAGAGTTGTATCAAGGGCAAACTTGACACAAGGTTAATTATATTCTTGAATCCCGTCTAGAGGAATCTGCTGGGGATACTGTTGATACATCTGCAGGAAATGGAATAAAAAGAAATGGATAAAATAACAGTTTCAAAATGTTCTCTGAACTGGTCAGATTAGAAAAACCTGCCTAAAGCTACTTTACCTTTTAAACTAGCCAGTTATGAAATGACTAACATTGAAAAATATTGGTTTAAATACATATCAAGAGGTATAAAATCAAAATGAAAGCAGTTTTCTAAGTCCAATACAAGCACCATAAAGCACCATGAGTTAGGAGGTCAGGAGATGTCAAAGGATGTTTGGAATAAATTTGGTTGATGATGCCGTTGAGGCTATTTTGGGAAGCTAGAGAGTAATGAATACTCTCTGGTGCTGTTTAATCAATGTATGTGTATGAGTCTTGTGTTGGTTGATTCGAGGTCTAATAAAAAGATAAAGATAAAAGTTAAAGAGTAAGACTAATTGATCGTTGTCTAGCGCTGACACTGCATCCCTGTAGACGTAATGGTTTTTTTGGAACTTTTGAAACTAAAGAGCAAACTAATTAAAGTTGTAAAGATGGGCGAGAGCAGAAACTTGGCATCCACTGAAAGAGTTTTATTTCCAAATTATTCTTGTGTGTGACTTTTTAGCCCGGAGGACGGCCTGAGCTGGCTGTTTTTCCAGTACTTTCTTTCACTCTCTCTCTCTGTACTCCAGCCCCTCGCTCAGAGCGTGAGGAAGTTCAAAGAACGAATATGAAAACAGGCGATAGTCTGATCTGCTGCAGAGCCGAGGGGTTCTGTGCTTTTATTGAAATGTAGTAGTTAGTAGGCCCCTAAATCATTAACATGTATCTGTTTAGTTAAAAATAACTTTAAAATGTTGCCCAAGTAAAATAAAGAGAAAACCAAGTAATTATTGCTTTACAAAAAGTTTTTTTTTGTAAGTTCTTTCTTAAAGTTGTGTTATTGTATAACTAAACATGAGATGTCTCAGAACTTCCAATAGAAATTGTGTTTGAATCATCATCCAAAATGAAGGGGTTACAGTTGCTTTATACTATATGAAAACTTCCTGCTTCAGTTTATTAAATCCCCGCTGCCTTCTGACGACAGCAGGACACATATGTTGACAAATCTGCACCACCATTACGCACAGCACCATTACGCACAGCACCATTACGCACAGCACCATTATGCACAGCACCGTTATGCACAGCCATTCACTGTGTTCACTCAATTAAATCACCTGCAAATGACACCAGGCTGTCTAAAAAAGAACCCCACGCAACTCTATACACAAGGGATGTCATGATACCAGAAAAGTCCATTTATTAATTACCACTTTATCCATCGCATGCAGCCCTTTTGAACGTTGCGCTGCTACATGATCCAACATAGCAGGTGCGCTTGGAGATGCCCCCACAGTCAGGGCAACCTACTGCTATATGCACTTGTAGTTGCACTATTAAAATAGGGCCCAAAGGGTAAAAGAGATTGTGTTTAATAGTGATATTCAGAGCATTCGTATAGCAGCAAACAACTATGTAAAGATATAGTGGAATACTGTCTACCCGGGCAGAGAATGAAGTCACTATGGCTACTGGCTAGCTAATCGGCGCCGCTCTGCACACCGCGGTTATACAGCGGTTACTGTTGATAACGCCGCCCTGACCCATGGCGTCGCCGTGGCCCTTTGTAAAGCTGCCTCAGTGGTTGCAAACCAATGTTGCTAAAACTGTCTTTATTTGAAGATCAAAGGGATTGATAAATATTATCATTTTAATTATTTATAACATTAATAATTGAACATAATGTTGCCAGAATTTTTTGTTTTTATATACCCTCACACCTCTCTCTCTCTCTCGCACACACACACACACACACACACACTCACTCACCACTTCCATTATTGCAGTGACCACATTGACATGTAATCCAGTTGCCATATCCGCTGCCAGCTTCTGAGTCATTAGCATAATTATAACATGCAGAGATATTTGGAATGAGCTTGTGATTCTTTCCAAAAGCGTTGTCACACTGCCTCACTTGTGGGATTCATCTTCACTCACACTCAAGTTGCCTCCCATCTGCTCGCTGAATACTACAAATTGTAGAAGTAGGAAGAAGTTCTCACCCTCGTTTTCATGAAATGGCCCAACAGATTTCTGAAGGACTCTCGTGTCTGTTGGCCTTTTCACCGGCCTTTACCTGAGCTCAATATGACTTCTTCAACATTTATGTAAGTGTGTGCACAATTTACTTACGGCAGTTAGATCCCTTGACTGATCAATGTTTGCTTGATGATGCACCTGGACACAGTGACCTTTTGGTCCTGCAGTAATTGGATTTCATGGCTGAGAAGTGACGATGACGGATTTGTTTGATTTAGAGCCTATTACTTCCACAAATTTGGCTCTCATCCCTACATTTTGGAAAATATCCAGAATAGATATTACAATGATACTTTGAGGAATGTCACATAAGTATCATGTTGTGTGGGCAGAATAGCCCAAATCTGATTAATTTACATTTTTATTTTATAAGAAGTAGAAGGAAAACTAGTCATTACTACTTGAGTAAGAGTATTGAGTAAGAGTATTGTACCTAGTGAAAAGTTTACTTAGTAACTTAAGCCAAGCAGGTTGGGGGGGTTCAGGTGTAACCCTACATATACAGTATAATTAGCAGCTTAGCAGTGTGAAAATAAGAATTCCTGTAATATGTATCTCTAATCTTTATTGAAGTTTCTTCATTGAAATATATGTTGCAGAAATGTTTTCTAAATATATGTTGTTGCTTTTTTCATTTTAAACTATGCTTGTCCTTCTGCGAGACATCTGCTGTCGTAAAAAATAATCCTCAATTTAGCCGCAAAATCCGAAACATCTAATCTAATGTAATTGTTTCTCAGTTGAGGCCAATTTCCATCAGTGAGAGCGATTTTCCCCAGCCACTCAATAGACATTTATGATGCATTCCCAAAATGAAGAGCCCAAATCACCAGATCCCTCTGGCCTGATGCCTCAATCTGGTTCCCAATCTCATTTCTAATTTATCTTACTCTGCCCGAACAAACCCCGGTGCCGTAAAGTGCAGTTTGACATTAATCCTTTGAATCTGCAGTGGGCGACGAAGAGATAGAAGAAGGGTTTGGCATGAATCCCATTCCCACTTCAATCCCCAGAACTGTATAAAGTGCCCTTCATTTGTCTTCAAATCAACGTCATCTGTGTTTTGTGAATGACTCTAAAAATGTGCCCGTGTCTGTTCTCCCAGGAAGTGTGAGGAATCCTAATGGCCTCCTGATGTAGCTTCTGCTGTTAGTGGGAAGAATTGAGGTAGAATCAGCTTTACCCATTATCATCCACTATTTTCTTACTTTATTCTTTGTGTACAATCAATGTGATTCACATTGATAATAACTACACTAACTACACTTAAGAGGTGTGTTTGCCTGCAGTTTTTTCATTTTATTGCAAAAGGTTACAGCACTTTTGAGTTCTGTGTTTGTTGATTCTGTCCCGAAAACCAAAGCTAACCACGGTGGTGAAACTGTTGGTTGTGAATGTTCAGGGTGTGGTGTGTCAAGGCCATTCTGAATGGTCTGCCTAAAGAACATGACATGTTGCACTGCTTTCCCCTCTAAATATGGCTGAAAGGTATCATGTATTTTTAAGCCAACCAGAGGGACAGCTTGACATTATCGAGCCATCACTCTCTCCTGGTTTCATTTTAGGTTAATCTCGCATTTCTATGTTCCATTTTCTTAGTCATTCTGGTTAAACTTAGTTTATATTTTTCCTTTAAGTTTTTCCTTTTGCCTTAATGGTCGCTCTTTTCAACCGTCCCATCAGCAATTCAAAACCTGGTAACTAGGATGGAACGTCGAGGGGCACCACTAACATCTTATTGGCCATAGACAAGTCAACACTTTTGAGTTACAGCAATGGAGCTCAGTTCATCGTGGAGAAATGTGTATCCAAATGTTTGAAGATATCACAGATTACCTGTGCACATGTGAATAGTGAAGATAGACACCAAAAGGATGTTCTTATAAATCCTCCTCTCAAAACCACAGTTCTGAACGTTCGAGACTGTACACACATAAACTGATAGTGTTGATCCTTTGTTCAAACAGTTAAAACAAACAGATTTCAGTGAACAATGACTGTTCTCACTCAGATTCGAATGTGGAAGTAGTGCAATGTTGCAGCACCACAAGACTTCTGAGGGAGGAAGTAAGGCTAGATGATTGAGTCAAAAAGAGTGTGACTTGGAAAGCTCTTTGCATCTTCTCTTCTGTCAAATACCAATTTTGATCTTTCCTATCCGAACAGTTGAATGTTCGGGTCAAGCCCTACCAAATAAAAGATGGTATGTTTTTCTTTGACACTAAGTCATCCATGCAGGCATTTCACTAGTGTACTGTGACCTAACTGTCCCCAACCCCCCCCCCTCATCCCGCAAAATAAGAGCGCTGGGATGCAGTTTGATGTATGACCTGAGAGGGTCATTCTCCTGCAGAATTAAGATGGCACCTGTCAAAGTATGAGCCTTTTGTCGTTGGTGCTGAGAATCTTGAAGTCCTTCTCTGATGCTGGAAATGATAAAAAGAAAATAGAGACAGCGTTTGTTATGTGTTGACAGGGATGTGATGTACACTTAACACAGGCATCAAGAAATTAATATAATAAACTCAAGCATACACACACACACACACGTACCGTAGATGTCCAAAGGCACACCACCACACACACAATCTTGTGTCTGAGCACTGATTTAACTCTGAGCACTGGTATACTAAACTATCTAGTGGAATCAGACAGGATGCACGGTGAGTGTACTACTGCAGAGAAGAGCCCTGATCCAACATTGTCATAGCTTCAGCAACACTGCAGGTGTTATAAAAGGGACTGGAATATGGATGAGTGGGAGAGTGTCGTGATTGAAATGTGCTAAAGCGAGTCGGTGCCTTTGTACTACCCTCCAAGGTGTGGGAGAGGAGGAAGAGAGAGAGAGAGAGAGAAAGTAGGGCAGAAAAAGAGTAGAGCAAGGTGGAGCTGCTTGCTGATACTTTGCTGGCCTAAACCTGAACACAAGTTGCCCTCAAGCACTGGTTCTCAATCAGATGATTTTAACCCAATTTGCAATACTGCATGGCAAAGCCTCATCCTCAGGTGTGTGTGTGTGTGTGTGTGTGTGTGTATGTGTGTGTGTGTGTGTGTGTGTGTGGCAAAAGATGCTTAGGTTGTCTTGTCGGTTAACAGGTAAAGCATGACGCGGTTGCATGGGTTCATAACACACATAAACACTGACACAGTTTTCCTCGTATCTCTTTCAGGAAACCTCCTCCTGCTCAGATCGAGGCTTCTGAGAAATGAGCTGCCAATGTAAGTCCGTTGCCTGACCTCAGCACTCAACTGGTAATGCTGCTTTTAAATTAATTAAGCCGACTGGAAATTCAAATTGAGTCTACAAACACTCGCACATGCACAGAGCCGTAGCCTTGGACCCCTAACCTTTTAACTCCCTGCTCCTCGCTAAACATCATGAACAGGATTCACCACCGAGTCCATTTATCAGAAGCTAATTGCTGTTCCCTGTAAACACACTGATGGGACATCAAAGGATGGCTCACTGCAGGACAAGCTAGTGAAATTCAAATTTCAAACACAACCCTTGCTTCAATATAATTCTATGAAGTTGCCACTTCTGGTTTTCGTTTGTCATCCGTAGCACAACGAAGGCTTGAGGCGCTATCAATAACGGACGAGGATGTGAGACTTTTCCAGTGAGTTTACCAGAAGCTTCCGTGCCTACACTTAGGATCGGCAGGACCGGCTCTCTGTACACCTACAAACTGGTGCTGTAGCTTTCAAACATCACTGCGTATGATATTGTGAAATGTTAGGAGCAAGTGTACATTTGTTTTATTGTGCATTCACACCCTTTACATATTATCAACATATATATTTGATATGGTGAATGTGTTACCAAACTATTTTTCTATTTAGACAACTAGCCGATACAGAGCATCATCAGCATTGTCTCGAGTTTCTGACCACCTGGTTAATATATTCACTGAGCCTCTGACTCTTTAGCAGCTACAGTAAAAAGAATATTTTGGCTTTTTTAATGTGAATGCGCCCTTGTTTCAGGTATTTTCTAATCAAGTTAAATTTTTCTTTATTCTTGTGCATCAACCTGCCTCTCGTATCTACAAAAACTCTTGAAACAAGTTGTTTTGTACAGTATAGGAAACAGGTTGTAATACTCTTCCTTCACTGGCATCACTTATTTCAAGAAAATAAGATTCAGGACTCAATTATCACAGAAATAACTTGAGATTGTGAAGATTTTTAGTCCTGCTCTGGTGTAATTGTGCATTGCAACACAGTAATTACAATGTGAAAGTAGGGGGAACGTGATTGTAATATTTCACAGATCGTTGCACATTGTGTCTGCAGGATTGTGTTATGTTTGTTATGGAAGGAGTTTTTTTTAGGGTCTCGCTAAATATCATTGAGCACAAGTTGCACAAATCCCACAAATGTGTATCTGCCTCTTAAAAGTTCCTTGAGTGGGCTTACACATGGCTTCTTCTCCATTTGGTCATCTTAATGAAAATGTGAAACAGTGTTCATGCAACTGCAGCAGATCCAATTTAAAGCCACAAACATGACCACTTCTCACATATTCAATGTCATGCCCTTCATTCCTTCACACAGCTACAGACACAACGTCGTGTCTTTGTAGTTTCTCTCAGATATTTACATCGGCATCATACATCACACGCACAGACAGGCATTTGCATACAAATTTCGTCCTTGACATTCACACACACACACACGCACAGACAGATGTAAACATGTGCACACATATTGCCAGTTTTCTGCAGAAACAGGGGTCCTGCCAGCTGTGTTGCTGTGGCTAGGAGATAAACAGGATGCTCCAATCAAAGGACTCCTCTCAATCCTGCCCATAAGGCCCCTGACGGAAGTCTCCCTCAGGTGGAGGATGAGAAGGTGTTGCTGACATCACACTTACAATAGGCCATGCTAGAGGTGTTAGAATTGGATCCGGAGGGTGCATTTGACACCGGATTTTGTACAGTAAACGTGCTCAGAAGGTGCACCGGTCCGTGGCTTGATAACAAATAAATCGTACAACTTTTCCCGAAGGCGGTTTGATTTCTGCTTTCCTTTTTAGGTCAAAGTGAGGCACATAGCATTTAGCACCAGGGGATAATCAGATCAACGATAGCTTCTCAGAGGAAAAACTGAAAGGATGTAACCACAATATTGAAACACTATGATCAAAGCTGAGCGCACTCTGTGAATGAGAATGTAAGTATGAGAGCAGTGGCTGCAAAGGACGGCTGTGTTTGATGCATTACTCTTTCCTGGCTGTCTGCACACATAGAGAGGAAGACTGTTGCAATTTCCCTGAATTACAGTGTACAACTACTTTTGTCTCTTCACTCTTTCCCTCCTCTCTCGTCTCTTTACGCACTTGCATTATAAAGTGCTCATTCTGTGCTATTAAAAGGCCTCTCATGTGTGCAGACAGTAAGAGGCCGGCGCGGAAACACTTTTTAGTCTGACTAGGACAGCGTAGAACTGCTGTTACTGTCCGACACACAGGAACATAAACTGAGTATCCTTTCTGAAGAATACTGAATTAATTCTTCACATTTATTGCTGCCTTTAATTTGTTGTATACAAACATTTATATTTTTCTACCTTTTTTGTTATTTATGATGCCTAAAAAGCAAAGATGAATCATTTTCGTTCCCATAGATGAGATGTCACCTCTGAAATCGGTGTATTTCTAGATGAGTCACAGCCGTGAAAACATTTATTTAATGGATATGTTCTAATATACCGGGACAAAACTCACAGCCCACTCACACACTGTGGATAGAACGTGTAAAAAAAAATACATTTCACTCTGTGTTACTATGTCAAGGTAAAAATCTCCTCTGGCTCAGAAGTCCTATCAGCGAAGAAAATCCACATTACCGGTTTCAGTGCCGTTCAAAAGGGTAATGAGCCTCAGCTGTGATATTCAACCCTCAGTGGGAAGGAAACCTCGCGGGAGCCAGATGATTAAGAAGACTTATAATGTGGTGAAACAGCCTCCAATTTATGAATCACACCTTGGAACAACACAACAGAACAATGTAAATTGATGTAATTAATAACAGCTGGCATATACAGTACATCAACAAAGTTTTAGTTTAAAATCCATGTATTGTTGAGTTGGGTAAAATCTCAGCCCTGGGGCATTGTGTTAAATCACCAATTCCAGCATAAAATAAGGATTTTGTTTGTTTACGTAATGGGAGAAGACATTGTTCTGGTTCTTTGTGAGCTAAAAGTATGATTTTGAGACACCATGCAATGAATGTGAATATAGACACAGACTCGTAATCCAGGTAGCTTTACAACCAATGGTGCTACAAGTCAGATTTAACAACCAGGTGCTCTGCTTCATTTGAAAGAAACATTAAAATGAATCAAGCATTCAAGGGGAGTAAGTCACAAATAGCTCTAAAGCTCATTTAATATTGCATAACATAGACGCTGAGGAGAAGATATTTATAGGCTTGAAACTATATAAATGGTCCTGAACCAAATAACATCAAACACAGTATTTGATGTCGTCTGAAGGCTGTTTTGTTGAATGCTCCGCTCCAGCCAGAATAATACTGCTGCTGAACCACAGACTCTGGATTACCGACGTGATTTTGGGCAACATTTGAGGGCTGTAATTCACGTCTCCTAAATGTCAGAGCTCTGTGTGAAATAAAACCGCACATACGTTCCATCTCTGCTGGTCCTGCTGTCATGGCAACGGCTCATCCTTGTGCCATTGATAGGCTGACGGACGGCCATTAGGGTATTATTGTGACGTCAAGTGGGGATTGTGAAAAATGGATTCAGGGGTTGACCCACTTGGCATCCAGCGGGGACCCGTGGCCTCCCCCCCATCACACGATCACTCCTCACATCTCGACAGGAAGTGACTTTTCACCTTTTCCTTTCACAGCAGGAAGGCTCATTGCGCTGCTGCTTCCTCTGTAAAGGGGGGGGGGGGGTCAAGGCTATGAGGATGTGTTTGAATGAACCAGATATTGTGTGTGTCAGGCCAAGGGCATTTTTTTGAAGTGGGTGAGGTTTAAGGCTTACCCTGGTGGGATTTAAAGCTGTGCTGTGGTTGTTCTGGCTGTGGGTGACTGCTCATAGCTCATACGCATGCAATGCAGCAGCTCACTGACAGCACAGGACGTCACTGAGCTGAAGCTTATGGGAGTAAGATGTGAGAGCTTTCATTAAAGCGTTCAGGAATTATCAAAGTTAGAAGACATCAAAACTCATCTTACCCCTTCATTTAACTTTGTCTCGTAATCGTGGAAGTCGACCTCAGCTTTAGTTGTGCAAAAACAGGAAAGACTGAATGCTGCACTGAATTCCAAATATTAATGCTCATTGATGTTAACTACGTATGTTGTTTGACATGGCAAACACTAATTAGAGAGAGGCTGTTCTAGATAGATTGATATCAAGGAACAGCTGAGGTTTGTGGTTACAGCTTTACAGCAGGAGGTGCCTTCAGTATAGCAGGATCTCCTAGTCTTTGAAGTGGATCTTCACTGTGCATGGGTTATGGTGTTTGTCTCTGCGTGATAGCGTCATGTGTTTGAATGGTGTCTGTGAAATCATAAAAAGATGCTAATGTCTGGGGTGCGTGCATGCATATGTGCACATCTCTATGTCTGTTTGCATTAGTCCTCGTGATTTGCCCTGAGTCTAGAGACAGAGGCCACAGCTGCAGCCCACAACCCTCTCCTCCCGCTGTGCTTCACTGTGTGCAGGACGCAGCGAGAGACACCCATCTCTGTGTCATTCCTAAATATAAAAATACACCTCGAATGAAGTAGTGCCAGGCCGTGTCTGGTCACCATGACTCCAGCTTGAAATTGGGCACTAGTTATATTATGAGGTTAGTATTTGAGCCTTTCCAACGGGGTGCTAATTCAAGAAGCTAACCCCACTGCTTGTGCTTCCTGCTGATTAAATACTTAAATAAAGTTTCACACTGTTTATTCAACTCAAGTAGTCAATCCCAATACAATACTAACAGGCCCATATGCACATGGAAAGAGTTATTAATTGCTGAATTCAATCCTGCTGTTCATGCCAACCTTGAACATTTTCAAGGTAAAAGATCAAATCCACATTCTTCATTTTGTGCAAAAATGCACGACAGCTGAATGCCAATGTGAGGTTTCAAGGGTCTGAATTTGCCAAATGATGTATTCAAGTCTTTTTAGTATGACATTCCCTCTTTGTGTCACTATCTCTTGTCTGTCTCACAGTCTGTGGGG